TAAATATGGAACGAGAAAGTCCGGTCGAAAACCATGAGCCCGCAGCCGAGCCGGTCATGATCCATAACCGACCTTTTAATTTTATGGCCATTTAAATTAGGAAATTAATCTTCTCATTATCATTTGTTAATTTTGGTCTTAATGCTAATAGATATTGAACCGTTAAAAAATCTCTCTCTCTCCTCATAAACCGATTCCTCTTCTCCCTCACGCCCTTATCTATCTGTGCCATATCCCTCTCGTGATTGATTAATCTCCATCTCTCCCTCTCTGAATCATCTTGCGCCACCATCATCACCACGCATCTTTGATCATCACAATCTTCCGCCATCACTCCATCACGCGAGAAGGAGATCGCTAGCCACCATTACAGCTTTTCTTCTCCGGTGATCCGCAGCATATCCGTGATCAGCTCTCTGGAGTGAATCACCAGCCCTGAAACCAAAAGTGATTAGCAGCGAGAAGAACCGAGGCCTTTAATCCGAATCCTTCTTCATCCGATCTTGTAGTTCCGAAGGAAGGTACTTTTCAATCAAAATCCAATTGTTACTCATTGTCTTGGATTTGATATTGTTCGATTATTTCATGTTTCGGTGTTTCGAGTGTCGTTGGTTGAAATCGATATTTGTTTACTCTCGGTTTGTTGTCGGTTCATTATTGGTCGTGTTGTTCATGAATTTCGGGAATAATCGGAACTCTCGTTTATTGTATAAATCGAGCTCTTTAATTTCTGTGACGATATCGTGTTATTTCAGAGTCTTTATCTGTGGTTTCGAGCCTGACCGTCATTGATATGTTGATTCGTTCGTTTTCGAAACCGTTTGATGTCGTTCCATTTTTTTTTGAATATATATAAAAACGATATTTATAAATATTTTGAACTCTGAAGTATGTATTCTTGATAATATCTCGAATCCAGTGGTCGTTAGATATGTTGTCGTCGAAATTGGTCGAAATTTTTACCCAGCCTGTTCGCAGATGAAGCTCTGTTCGAGTTCTTTTTTTTCTGTGTCTCAGTTTTATGTTCGGTAGTTTGCAGGTATTTTTTTTTCAATTAAGTAAAACAGTTTCATAATAATTAACATCCAGCGCATATGGTGCAGTGGTTCTGGCCCATGTTTCTTTGGGTGAGGTCTGGAGATCGAAACTGCCCTTGGTCATTTATTTTTGGCCCAATTTTCCAGCAGAGCGGGCTTCACAGCCCGCGAGCCCACACATCGGGCTGCGCGGCCCGAACCCCAGCCCGCCTATCTTCAGCCAATTGGGCCAGACCATTATTTCGGCCCAATTTCGCATATATGAGCCCATTTCCGCGGTAGATTAATTTCAGCGCGGCCCAATTGGCTTTTTGGCTTAATTTTGAGTTTCAGAACCCGTTTTTAGTATTAATTTCGATTTTAAATTTTTTATTATTTTTATTCAAATGAGAAAAATTTGTAGAAATTATTTTAAGTCCCGAGACTCCAAATTAATGCTCCGAGTCCTATTTTATAAAAATTAGAGAGTTCAAAGTCCACGAAAAATCCGATTAAAAACCCGTAAATCTTAATTTATGGGTTTTATGTTAAATTGGAGTAGTGGGATAAATTATTGATAAATTATCTCATTAAATGTAGGTGTTTGAGGAGTCGAGCTTCATCCTACGTGCTTGCTTTTGTGTGTTATTATTTACCGAAATTTCCAGGTGGGTTGTAATTATAAAATTTACTATGCCTTAATTAATTGTTTTTGTTGTAGTATGATCAATGTATGCATGTGAACCATGTAGCCTTCAATGTGAGCTATATTGGCCGTCGAACGGTTATCCTCGTAGCTATAGAACGTACATTCGGGTAGTCTCCTTTATTATTGTTGACAGACAGGGCATGAGCCTTGGCTGTGATCCTCGTATGTAAGGCCAAGGCGAAAGTTTTGGCATTCGGGGTGGATTATTGCTCCTGCTGGCCGGGCACTCGTTGTAAGGCCTTCGAGGAAGGCGTTCGGTATATAGCTAGGCAGCAGTCTATTGTTATAGGTGTGCACATGAGACCATTATTGATTACTGATAGGAGATGGGACGGTTATTGATTCGTATACATGCTGCGACCATACTTAAATTGTTTTCATTAATTATTGCATAGCGGTGAGCACCTCGACTTTCCTATTGTGCTTATTCCCACCTGCTCTTCATGGATGCAGGTTAGTTTATGCGGCACGGCGGAAGGGATGCGAGTGGTGGTCTTTAATTTGAATAAATACTTCCGCTTTGAACTAAACTTTGATATTATTGCATTATTATTGATTATTGTTTTCTAGTATTGGAATATTGGAATATTGTTAGGGATTATTTCCCTAGATCATTATTGGATTATTATCGCATTATGGGGATTTTATTATTGTTGATTATGAGTATTGAAAATTGCCGAGTATTGAGAAATTGACGAGTATTGATTATTGTTTTGACAAAAAAGTAGCGCCTCAAATATTGTTTTTGAAATAAATTTCGAAAAATTTATTTTGATTTTCGGTAAATAAAAGTGGGGCGTTACAGTTTGGTATCAGAGCCAGTCTGCGTTTCTGTAGACTGGTTCAAGTATAAAAGTTGATTACGTGATTATGTGTTTCGAATTCATGTTAAGACCACTCGCTCTCGTCGTGCCGCGCCAGCTCATGTATGAGTACCTGAATGACTTTAAGATTATTGTATATTGGTTGATTATTGATTATTGGAATGAAATCGGGGTTAGGACTAATCCACCTTTAAATGCGAACTCTAGTGTTAACTCTAGACTTCTTTTATTTTTGTGCTAAACTCTTCGACCAATTTTCAATCTAGAATTATGGCTCGTCGTAATGCTCGCAACCAGCAGCCTTCTCCGTCTCCATCTCCACCCCCATCTCCCCCTCACCAGCAGGCTCCCAATCCGGCTGGGACTCATCTCAACATTGTGATTCAGTTTCGCCAGTTGACCCCACCAACTTTCACCGGGGTCGAAGGGCCCGAAGCAGTGGCGGAGTGGATCCGTCAGTTAGAGCAGAATTTCGATTTGCTGTAGTGCACCGATGCCCAGAAGGTCGTCTGTGGCCGCTATATGCTGAAGGGCGATGCCGCCCTATGGTGGTCCGGCTATTGGAGGTTGAGGCAGGCAGAATTTAATGCCCTGACTTGGGATCGGATGAAGGAGGTGATCATGGAGAAGTATTATCCTTAGAGTTATCGCATGAGGATGGAGCGCGCTTTCTGGGATCTTACTCAGGGGACAGGTACTGTTGAGGAGTACGAGCGGGAGTTCACCCGCATGAGCGCCTTTGCTCCACATATGGTGGACACTGACCTGAAGAAGGCCCACAAGTTCCGGGATGGACTAAACCGAACTCTCCGTATGCATGTTGCCAGCCAGGGAAATCTTTCCTTTGATGAGACTGTTATTCGAGCCACCCAGCTTGAGAGTTATCAGACTCTCGATGCTTCCGTCCCTTCTGCTCATCTAGTTCAGCCTATTTCCTCTGCGCCGCCCAGATCTAGTTCGGGCAAGAGAAAGTTTGATTCCCGCCGGGATAACCGGAAGGGAAAGCGTGGAGCACCAGACCGCCGTGACGTTCCACCTGTCGCTCAGGGTCAGAACCCGAGATGCCCTAAATGTGGCCGCTATCACCCCGGAGATTGTCGTTATGTTCAGAAGGTCTGCTTCAACTGCATGAAGCCCAGTCACTTCTTCAGCAACTGCACCGAGCCCCCGAGACAGCAGCATTACCCGCAGCCCCATCAACAGCAGCTTCCTCCTCCACCTCACCAGCAGCAGCAGCAGCAGCAGCAGCACAGACAGCCCCCACCACATCAGCAGAGGGCTGGCGGTCAGGCTCGTGTCTATACCATTGCTCACGACGAGATGGCCAACAACGCAGGTACTATGTCTGGAATGCTCTCTATATCGAATGTGCTTGTCTTTGCATTATGTGATACTGGAGCCACTCATTCTTTTATCTCTTCTCGTTGCCTTGAGGCTCTATCTGTTAGTAAGGTGCGCAAAGTCGATCCTCTCGAGGTTAGTCTAGCCTCGGGAAAAATTATCATCTCCGATTCCTTGGTTCGTGATCTTCCTGTTTCTATCGGCGGTCGAGTTTTGTGTGTTGATGCTTATGTTATTGAAATGCGAGAGTTTGATGTAATCTTGGGCATGGACTGGCTCACTCGCTATCGAGTTGACATCCGGTGTCAAGAGCGCGAAGTCATTCTCTTTCCTGATTCCGATCAGCCTGTTGTTTTCTTTGGGGTGAAATCGAGGACTGTACCTCGCGTCATCTCTTCTATGCAAGCCAGGAAGAGCCTTTCCAAGGGTAGCTGTCAAGGCTATCTTGTATCTATGGTATCTGAGGATGATTTCGAGCGAACT